GATTCTTGATGGATTAATTGCATGAATTCCATTTAATTTGTGTTTGAATAATTTAACTGATATCTCTTGTAACCTAGAACGCGCGCTAGAATTACAATTGCTTGTAGAATAAGTTAAGAGAGATATAATTTATTCTAGGACACATTCACACACACTTAATCGCTCGCTAAGAGATTAGTAGCGATTAAGGGGGCGTAAGCTCGCTCGTCTTGGCAATAATTTAGGATCTTGTCGCATGAGAGATCAGTCTGATTCCCTAAATTGTTGTACTCTACGTCGCGAGAGCTGTAAGAACCTAGTAATGACTAGTTAGGTTCAATTAAATTAATTTCATGTAATTAGACCTGATCTGCCAGAAATCTGGTTACCCCGGAATCAATCCCTACTCACTTCGTCGTTCATTAGAAAGAACCCCTTAGTTTTTGTATTCGTTTTATTGCAAGTTAATTTTCCAATCAATCAAATCTCGCACAATTTTATTTATTTATTTTTTATTTTTAATCGCTGAATTTAATTAGTTCTTAATTCCCTTTTGTCCGTCCCTGTGGAGACAATACTCGTACTTACACCCTTTACTACAATCTATTTTTAAGTGCGAGAAAACTTATCGGCTGGAATGTGGTTAGTTGATGAATTACACTGGTTTGGCTGCACACAGTTGAAATATCGGCTGGAAAATGTAAAAACTTTATAAATTATAGGTTTACTGTTTTAATTCCTGCAAATATAGCACACTTTATTTTGGTTTTAGTTCATCTCTAACGCCTAAATAATTGTACTTAGAATTTTTTTATTGTCGATTGCATAAATCTACTAGAAACTTTTAAATTTTTCTGTTTATAATTTTTTGAGGCTAATAAGAGAGTTAAAACAATATTAAAACTAATTATTCGCATTCTTAAATATGTATTAAAAACCTTTAGAAAAATGAAATTAAATACTTTTTAAATGGCATGACAAAGAATTAAAGGATACCTATTAGTCAGGATTGTTTCGTTGTCAAACGGGGGTTGTTATCATTTGTCATGGACTAAAATGAAAGCCAACATAAATTTCAGGGATGACAAACAAAGAAAATATTTTGCAGGGACCTAAAACAAAGTGTGTTATATTTTCAGGGAATAAAAACATATTGAACCTAAATTATACTCCCTTTGCCCCCAATTCTGTCTCAATTTATTCTTTTGTCTGTCCCATATCATATTTGTTAATATTTGGATGATAACAATATATTTTTACTTTATATACACTCTATCAATTCAATATCAAACACACAATTTCACTTTTATTTAAAAAAACACGACACCCCTTTATCTCAATCTTAGTGAAACGGAGGTAGTATGTATTTATGATTAAAAGAATTCTGCATCCAAAATATTAAAAAAAAACAGTGTTTTTAAATAATTTATTTAATTGGTTTTCTGATTAAATTTGAAGCAAAAATTTGATGGACATAATTTATTCTTCATTAAGAACATGTTTACAAAAATTATAAAAAAGTTCACCCAGAAACACTTCAAATGGAGGCGAAGTGACGACGCCTCCGATAAGGAGGTCTGATAGAAACACTATTTTTCTCTGCATATGCACGTGTAGAGTTTGGATTAGATGAGAACGCAATCTTGTAATATAAATTAGAATGAATGTGAAATTGTGTGTTATATGAAACATAAATATGCATTACAATACATTATGAAATGCAATTACATTTTTGTAAATAAATTGAATCATTGTAAATTACCATGGAGCATCATGTGCATAGTTTTAGCCTTAGGTAATTCTATTTTTTAGGAAAAATAGTTCTCACCTAAGTATGGAGTATGGGGTGTTTGGAACCGATTCTGCATCAACTTCATTTTTAAAGAAGAAGCACGATCAAAATCTGTTTTCAGAAACTGGTCTCCCCCAACTTCTTAAAAACTGTTTCTATGAGTAAATTAGAGCACCAGAAGTATTTTTGTACTTTCACCTAAACACTCCAACTTCTTCATCTGCTTCTTGAAGGAGGAGCAGAAGCAACTTTAAGAAGGAAAGTTCCCGAAATAGGACTAAAATAGTTTGAAAATTCCCAAATAGGACTGCCGTGTTTTTTAATTTCCAAAATAGGAGTAATTACTATCAGGTTTAGAAAATACTGCCATGTTTGAAGCCTGGTAATCCAAAACATGACAGCAATTAATCTTATTTTGGGAATAAAAATATGGGAGTTTTCAAATCTTTTTAATCCTTTTGATGTAGTATTATTTTTAAAAATCACATCCAAAGAGCTGGTATGAATAACTGTTCAATCGTTGTTTCTTAAGCTGGACAACGAACAAGGTCTGTCTCTCGTTTACCAGTGCCCTGTTCGTGGTTCAATGGTTCAAGATCTCAGACTGAAATGTAGCGTGGGCTGACCCAGGCTATCTGCACCGCACAGATCTGTTCGCATTCTGGCATTGCAGAAGGCGAGCCTTCCTCCTCTCATCCTCAAACGCTCGTCCACGCGCCTGCAGAATCAATCAGGTTAGGAAATCTCAGTTCGACGGTCTGAACCTTTTATAATCGATGCTTGATTATCGAGTTGGCAGATCGATTGCGAAAAAATGAATTTACGGCACTAACGTGCTCGATCAGATGAGCGTCAACGTTGATTTCTTTTGTTTACCCCTTTTCGCCGATGATGTATGTATTTTAGGCTGATTTTAGCTCTGCCGTTGAAGACCACGAGGCATTTGATATACCTTACATTTCGATTGTTGTAACTAAAACCAGGTAGCTTAAGATTTTCTCCTAGGAAAAAGCCAGTTTGCTTATGTATTGGATTTAGATATTGACTTTGTTTGTTTGCAGCTTGTAGCCTTGTGTGTGGTAGTTGCATGATTCATACTTTGTTAGCGCACATACTCCATATTTTTTATATATTTTCGATAGGAAGGTAGCTATTATACAGCACTGACCTTGATAGGTTCTAATGGATCTCCATTCTATTACATGTTATCCGTACACATGAAGCAAGAGGAGTTGCATCTGTTTCAGTTCACGGTTGTTTACCACCTTGTGTTTTTTAAACCCTCTAACTATTACCATTTTTTCATATAACTGTATTCTTCGTTGTCCTTTTTAGAAAAATACTTTGATGGGTGATGTGGAGTTTTTCAACTGGGAACACAATCCTTTTTTTCATATGACTTCATTTTTCGTTGTCCATTCTAGGAAAAAGTACTTTGACGGAGGATGTGGAACTTTGCATCCAACTGTACAGCTGGGAATACAAGGTCGAGGGAAGATCTTCGGAAGCCTAACGAGGATGCAGATTGCTCTGAAGATGATGAAGGTTCGTCGATCACAAGTAGAGATGAGGGACTGGAGTGCCCAATATGCTGTGAATCCTTCAACATTGTTGAAAATATTCCCTATGTTTTATGGTGTGGCCATACACTCTGTAAAAACTGCATCCTTGGATTACAATGGGCTGTTGTGAAGTGTCCTTCTTTACCCATCCAACTCCCACTCTTCATAGCATGTCCTTGGTGCCATTTGTTATCCTTGCGTTTAGTTTATAGGGGAAACCTGAAGTTCCCTCGAAAGAACTTTTTTCTTCTGTGGATGCTTGAGAGCATGAATGGTGATAGGAGAGTGTCACGTTCTACCTCCTGTGATGATAACCAGACAGCCTGGCCATCTGGTAGGAGGACATCATCAGGGAATTCTGCTATGGAGCCTATTTCCCGGAATGCCCCACACACTCACGTCTCAGAACCGACAGGATCAAGCCATGATGAAAGTCATTTCGATGGTTTCCTTGCTTTTGAGAGACTACATTCATCGATTAGGAAATCACTTATCTTCTTTGTTCACCTGACAGCCAAGTTCCCCCTGGTGATTATATTCCTTCTGATCCTTTTGTATGCTATACCCGCCAGTGCAGCAATATTGGCTTTGTATATGCTTATCACTGTTTTGTTTGCTCTTCCATCCGTTCTAATCTTGTACTTTGCATATCCGAGCTTGGATTGGCTGGTCAGAGAAATCATTACCTGATGAGATGCTTGATGCCTTCAAGTTTGTCAAAGAATAGCATTTCAGTAGTGTATGCAGGATTGTTTGCGGCCATTTGTGCCCAGTAAAGCTTATTGGCTGTGTGGTTATGTTCAAACTTATACTTTATCGTGTGTTTATTACTATGTAATGCTTGTGAGGGTATGGTGTTGGTGAAGTTCATGCCAGTGACTGATGTACATGATTAATTCATGTTTAATCAGGTAGATGTGGTCCTTATTCTCCTTGATTTACCCCTTATTTGGCCAACCCTACTTTCTTTATACCCCCGCCCGACTTGAACAAACAAGGGCGTAGGTTCTGCAACAATTTTGGTTGATTTCTTGGTCTGACGTGGGTAACATTATTGATTTTGGTTCCATTTGATTAATTTTTTCCTGGTTTTCTCACATCTCGCATAAATTTCCAGTGTTGGGATTTGAAGTCTGTTTCGGAAAAAGAAGTACGAGAGGAGGTAGAACTTAGAAAGTTAGAAGAGAAAAAGCAGGGGAGAGATAAAAGAGGAATATAAATGGTTTGATAGACCTAGAAGAAAAAAGAGGAATTAAAGTTGTCAAAAGGTTAAAACTTAAGACAATCAATAACTGACTTATTGTTTATTTCCTTTCTAAACCTGCCCAAATATCGTAGCTAAGGGGAAAAAAGTTTTTGAAAATTTTCTTTCCCTTCCCCCCAAACTCGAGAATCTTTTTGGGATTTGTATCCCCTAGTTTCTTTCCACTCAAATTCCGTCCCATCCAAAACACGCTTAGCATATTTGTTCTTGAAATAAACTAGTAAGCTACTCCCTCGGTTTTACAGTGAAAGTCACAGTTTGACTTTTGCCATTTGCCATTTTAAGGGAGTTAGATTTTTGTTCTTGACTTTCCTTAAATACCCTTAAAGCAAGGGTAATAACTAAACACTCCTACGGTAAAAACAAACAACAAAAGTGCGGCCAAGAGCAAAAGGAATGAAGCAATGTGTTGTAGAGCCATCCTTTCTGATACATTACATGGCAATAGATATTTATTAGTTACATACGGTTTTCCCTACCAAATTGAGTTTACATGATTCTAAATTTGTGTAAACCTCACAAATCCTTTCAAAAATTACATCAAGTCTACTCCTATAAAGTCCATTACAAAGAAAAGAAGATACAAAAACATCCATCGATGGAAGAAGCTGAGCTCCCCTCCAATCCAGAACAGTCACTAGAGAGTCAACTCGTCCTCCTTTCACCTGCAAGCATGTTTCACACACAAAGTCAAAGAGAAGGAGAAACATCACAACATCCCAGGCCTTAATTAACAGAACAAAAAAGAATGTGCATAATAGCAAAGTTGTTACGCATGTCTAGTGAAGGTAAACTTCAGAGGGGCAGTATTAGTAACATAGGCAATGAGTTCAAAGTAAACAGAGAAACAGTTCACAGGTTGTAGAAGAAAGCAAAACAACAAATGCTTGAAGGTGTAGCCATAAACGTGCAAAGCAACTAGAAAGGTAATTGTGCCAGAAAAAAGATTGCCTTAGACAGTCAGAAAATGAAAGACATACCATCGCATCAAAGAAAAAATATGAGAGCATTGGACTATGCTATGAAAGTTTCAACCTCTACAGTCTGTAGGTGGTACAAGAGAAATGAAATCAAAAGGCATTCTAGTGCTATCAAGCCACTCCTCACAAATGTTGGAAAGTTGAAAAAGGTTAGAATACTGTTTGAGTCATACAACTCCACATTCCCTACCAACAAGGCCTACGTTTCATGACTTCTTTGATTACATACACATTGATGAAAAATGGTTTACCTTTCAAAATAAACAACTACTTTCTACACCATCCCAACAGAAGATGATCCATACAGAACAGCTCAATAAAAAAAGTTTATTCCAAAGATTATGTTTCTAGCCGTTGTTGGTAGGCCAAGAATAGCAGAGAATGAGGAGGTGTTATGGGATGGAAGAGTAAGCATCTTTCCATTCATATTTGAAGAACTGACTAAAAGGTCAAGCAAAAACAGATCTACTAGTACTTTAGAGACAAAACCAGTTTTAAGTGTGACTAGAGCAGTCATAAAAGAAATGATTCTAAACAAACTTGTCCCAACAATCAAAGAGAAGTGACCAGATTCACACAACAACATGTCATAATACAACAGGATAATGCACACCCCCATATAGGGGTTATTGATCATGACTTTGTCAGAATTGCGACACGGGATGGTTGGAAGATTGAACTGAAGTGCCAGCCCCCAAATAGTCCGGACTTAAATGTTCTGGACTTGGGATTCTTTATGGCCATTGATTTAATCAAAGATCAAATGGGGCTAAAGAATATTAAAGGTTTAAGTGAAGCTGTGCAAACTTCTTTCAATGAGTTCATAACAAGCACATTGAACAAAGTTTTTATAAGCTTTCAATGTGTGATGGAAGTTGTACTGCGGGACAAGAAGGCAAAAAATTCAAATTGATCCACATAGGCAAAGACAAGTTGGAAAGGCAAGGGCTATTACCAAGAAATGTCCAGATTAGTGCAGAACTCTATGAAACATCTAGGGCATACTATAATGGACAAATGGCAACTACCATTACAGGGCAATCCTCAGGACAAATCATCAATGAAGAATAGGCATATGTTACATTGATGAATTAATTATGACAGGTTTAGTTTTGAATTTTCTGTTCTACAAAACTGAAGTGTCAATGCTTTTTTGTGCATTTTGTTTGTACATTGGTATGGAAGTACTAGTACTAATGTACTTCAATGTACTCTTTGTACATTTTTTGTAAGCCCAAATGCTAGGTTTTAATGCCATATAAAATTTTAGTTTCAATGCACACATGTTTAAATGCAATCTGTGAATTTGTTTCCACACACTAGTGAATGCAAACAAAGTCTCCTTCAATTTCACAATTGGATGGCATCAGTAAAACATGTAGAATAGCCAACAAATTTTATAAAAATTGAATTCAAGCCCCATTAAATCATTAGTTCCTAGTAGTCATGAAACCCCAACTCACATATGCGCACGGTAACAAAAAACAAACAACAAACAAGTAACAAACTAGGAATTTCACCATGAATATATTCAGTTCTTAGCACAGAGAAATAGGGAATAGGCTACTTCCCTTTCAATTCAAGTCGAGCCTCCTCCTCCGCTTCGTCCCCTTCATTTGAACTATCATCGGAACCAGTTTGGTAGCCACCTGCATCCACCGTTGCTGAAGTCACCTCCTCTCCATCTTCCAAGTCTTCCGGCCCGTCGTATGTGTCATAAACTAGATTGTCCCAATATTTCTTTCGTATTGCCCAATTCAGATCCATCTCACCCTCGTTGGAGTAACCAAAATGAGCCCTCCTGAAAATAAATGGCCTCACCGGCAATGCATCCAATGGATCTATTGGAAGATCAATTTTGGATTTCAGATCTACAACCGATGTCAGCTTCCCTTCATCAACTAAACGTTCTGATTGCATGTGCAAATCCGGAGGAGGGGTTTTGACTGATGAGGGAGAATAGGGATCTGCCATTAGTTCGTGGAGAAGGGGGTTGCGTTGGAAGAGAAGAGGGAGATGGGTAGCAGCGGAGTGTGGGAAACAACTAAGAAGGGAGTTGCGTTGGAAAAGAAGAGGAGATGGGATAGCAGCGGAGTGTGGGTGAAGGAGTATGCGAAGGAGATAGGTGGAGAATAAATGCCTAGAGATATTTCAGGAAGATGAACAAATAATGGGGCGATTGGTTGGGTGGGGTAATTAATGGGAGAGGGATAATGGGGCGGTTTGTTGGGTAAATTAAATGGGAAAGGGTTGGTTGGTTGGTTGGGTAAATTAAATGGGAAAGGGTTGAGTATATTTAATAGGAAAGGGGTAGGAGGGTAAATTAGCTGATAAACTTTCCTAATAGGGAAGTGTGACTTTTATTTTGGCACATCTAAAAAAAGGAAAATGTGACTTTGATTGCGAAACCGGGAGAGTATTTTTCTTTTTTATTTTAAATTCTTGTACATTATGCCAAGCAATCCCACATTGAGTAAAGATTAAAAACTAAAGGGTCAAATATGCCCTCAAACTAACTTAAGTGCAAAACACCTCTTATATAGGAGGCTCTGTCCGGACGTCGTCATTTGAGGCGGTTCCCGGTGAAATTTTTTGATGAAATTTTTTGAGCATCTTCTTCATTAGTCTAGTTTACTCGTACTAAATTTAAGCTAAAAATTCAATCGGAAAGACAGTCAAATGAAATTCTGAAAATAAATGTGCATTTAAACATCGCAGTGCATTTCAGAAAATCATTTGACTGTCTTTCCGGTTGAATGTTTAACAAACCCAAACGAGCTAAATATAAATATATAAATTGACACACAAAACATTGATTCATCCACGCCTCTACCCACGTTGCTCTTTTAGGTTAAAATTTAATATTAGTTTCAATATGTATCACACGCATTTCATTAATTGCAAGACTGGACGATTTTAATGAGTATGTTAAATCATTCCACTGGTCAAAAATATAAAAACACAATTTCACACATACTACTTCCGTCCCGGTGAACTTTGCCAAATGCAAAGTAGATGAGAAATAAGAATAGTAAAACTTGTGTGGTTGAGATTTGTGCGGAGGAGAGAGAAATGTGCAGAACTACAAATTAGTTGTTTTAATATGAAAGTGACAAAGTTTTTTAAATGGGATCTTGAGCTCAATACCTATGAATTCCTCTTTTCAAAAGAGTAAATATTTTTCTTAAAGCAATGCTATTTGTCATGGTTTTGCAATGAGATGTTGACTGTATTTGGTAAATACCTTTGATTTGGCCAACTTTAATTACTTGACCGGCCAAATCACCGAAAATGCATGTATCATGAGTAGCTTTTTATACTTCATCCGTCCTTAGAAGAACTTCCAACTTTCCCTTTTCGTCTGTCCCAAAAATAACTTCATTTTCCCTTTTTGGCAAAGAATTTGTGGTTCACAACAATTCTTAGATATTATTACACATTTCTCTTTCTTCTGCACAACTCTCCATCACACAATTCTCACTTTCTTATTCCGTGTGACATTTATACTACGGAAGAACATTTGGGGACGGAGGGAGTATTAGTTTGTTGAGCACTTGAGCATAGAAAGTCAAAACGGCACCTTCTAGGTTTAATTTTAAGGTGACAACTCCGGTACCCACCTAAAAATTGGGGTACCATACCTAGCATTCACTTGATTGGTTCAAATCATTATATCATTTTTAATTTAAATTTAAATAATTCAACTGCAACATTCTGATTGATCCATGTGGACAAAGATATGGTACCTTAAGGGTAACATAGAACTACCTGATTTTAATCTAACTTACGTAGTACGGAGTATTGTTTATTAATTACTTAAAAAATGTCAACAAAGGTCTAACAAGTAACAACTAGGCGGAGTCTACGAAGTTTTGATGAGGACTTTCGGAATAGTTGTTGCATGTCACTATGTAAAAAACGTTTCCGATGTCTAAAAATAAGGGATAATCTTATGGGTTGCCTACCACGACGCTGCCGTGGAATCCTGCACAAGCGTGCAGCGCTGCCAAACTAAAACCCTAGAAAGGGTGTTGACCGCTAGCTTAATACTCCCTCCGTCCCGAATTGAATTGTAAACTTTAACTGGCGCAAGGATTAATGAATGACAATAAATGATGTTTGTTTTTTACACTTTTGTTTATCTCGCTAAAAGTAGATGACTTTAAGTTAATACAAAAAAAGTAAAAGTAAGGGTAAAATTGTCACTATATTCTTATTTACATAGCTAAAATAGAAAGTGGAAAACCATTTTGGGACAACCGAAATAAGAAATTTTGCAAATCAAATTGGGACGGAGAGAATAATTTTTATCAGGCCGTCATTAATCAACTAGTATTTTTTTAATAAAAAAACTAGTAATTCTATTACGGGGTATTAAATATGTCTTCACTTAATTTAAAAAAAAAGATCACTTAAATTTGTTTTACTATAAAAAACAAATTAGACCAAATTTAAAAGAAGTTTTTCGGACCCCGAACTTAAAAGATCAAACATTTACAAAATAGAATGTATTTAAGGAGTTACAACGTTGATGCCAAGTACCTCATTGTTCGATGGTATACTTTTGTATACTCTCTCAAAAGGAAAGGGGAGAATCTATCTCAAATAAGGATGACATTTAGCATCGAAAAGAATCTCAAATAAGGATGACATTTAGAGCCCGTTTGGTAACACTATTATTCGGCTTATCAGCCAACTTTTTCACCAAACACGTAGGGCCTGTTTGGTGACAGCTGCATTGGCTGGAATGGCTGAAAAGCCTGAAAAGATTTAATTGGCTGAAGTGGCTGATTGTGTGTAAAATTACTATAAAGGGTATTAGCTTATTTGCATTAAATATATAGGTGTGAATTTTACTAATAAACTATTTTTGCTTGATTAGCTAATTATAAGCCTATTTAAATAATTGATTACTTGGGAAATTTTATTCTTACTCTTACGTCGATTTTTTTTATACAACTACTTTCAAAAAAATGTGTATTTACGAATGAGCGACATTAGTATTACTTTTGTGACTAATATGAGTAAATTAATTTAATAAATATACTTTTTCTAAAGTATATTAACAAATGGACATGCATTTAATTTAAAATAAAAATGAAACATAAAACACACATAAAACACACTTTCTTTTCAGCATTACACTTCATAATCTACAAAATAAAACAAATATACATGTACTAAACATATTGGAGTAGTACATTTATAACCGTTAAGTACCAATGTTCTAAAAGGCGCAAGGCGTGTCAAGGCGGCACCGCCAAGCCTCAAGCCTTTGAAACCTAGGCGGGCTTAGGCGAGATTTAGGCGTGAAAAGGCGTTCTGAAATTTTATCCTTCAAATTAATATTTCTAGAGCTACTTTCAAATATGTAAATTTAGTATTAAGTAGTATCATACATCAATATTATACTTTTCTAATTTTCAACACAAATAAATTTTCTAGAGTTTAAAATATGACAAATGGATATGGATTTATCTATTACACAAAAATTAGAATTGGGATACGTAATTGAAAGATAAAATAATAACAATAATAACAATAAAAGTAATGGTGAAGGTGATGGAACTACTACTAATACTCCGTATAATAATAGCAACAGTAATATTAATAATAACAAAATAGTAATAATACTTATTGATTTTTCTGTACTGTATTTAGTATAATATATCAAAAATTAGGACATTATTCGTAAGCGAGAATTAATAAAATAGTTAGTTATAAACTAGAGATTTAATACATATAATAATAGTAATAATAATAATAACTAATAGTAGTACCAATAATAATATAGTAATATAACAATAATAATAATAATGAACTAATGGTAGTTAATTATGAATGTTTAGAATAATTGTATTGTGAAATAAGTTACAAACCTATAGAGCTATACTCCGTAATATTCATAAAAAATGAATAAAACATGAGTCTTAGACATTTACACGTTTGTGTTTAGCCTTTGTTTTGAAATTCAGCCTTGCGCATGTTTTTCACACAGCTATCTCACACCGAAAGTTTATACATGAATCAGGCTTCTAATTTCCTATAAATATGTAGGAAAAGCGCTAGATAACGCAGCTTAGGCAAAGCTTCAAGCCAGTATGTTCACGCATTAGAGAGACGCCTGTTGAACCAAAAATGAACTGGTCATATATTGGGCCGCCTTTGTTCACGCATTAGAGAGACGCGAGGCGTTTCTTTCCCGCATTGCGCCTAGGCCCGCCTTTGCGGCGCCTTTGGACGCTTTTTAGAACACTGCCGTTAACTAGTAACTTGACAAGTAGGAGCACAAGGTTTTACAGCCAGAAAAGCTTTTCGGTATATTAATCCAACCGGTTTTGCAGCCATAAAGGGTAAAAGAGTAATCTATTCATCCAACGGTATATTAAAGATTTTGCAGCCAGAAAAGCAGCCCTGGCGTTACTTTTTCGGCTGATCAGATAATTCAGCCAAAACAGCCCAAAAGCCTTGTGTTTGGCTGTATTTTTTTATTTTCAGGCTTATAAACTCATTTTTGGGGCACCAAACACCCTCGTAACTTTTGATTTCACGTGCTGAAATGAGTAATAATAAGAAAAAGTAAGGTTGGAGTTACTTTTCTGGCTATTTCGACTGAAGGTACTGTAGATGACCATTTTTGCTATTTTTACATATAATTTTTTCTTTATTTTATTAAAAAAATATTTTACATTTAAATTTTTCATAAATCAACAGAACCAGCCAATACAGACACTTAAGCCAGAACTTCATAAATTTCAGCAGGGTAAGCCGATTCAGTCGATTCAGCCGATTCTAGTGTTACCAAACGGGTTCTTAACATTGAAAAGAAAGACACTATACTGACTAGACAACATATATTGAAAAGATACTTATATGAAGGTTTTTTATCCTCTCACATGCAAGTTTTTGTTGATTGAAATTATTATTGAATACTTTTTGATTTTTCAACATTTGATATCCTTATTTTAAGTATAATAAAATAAGAGTTAGTTTTCTTCTTCTCTATTAGCTAGTTTCATTTTTATTTTTTATTCAATAATGATTAATATTTCACAAAAGTGATACTTTATTATATATTTGTTCAAAAGCAATATTATTAAAAAATCAACAATTAATTGGTTTCATAAGCTTGGTTAAATTTTGTTGATATTAAAAATCGCTTTACCAAACATGGAAATGAACCGATATAAATTAATTTTTACCTTAGATCATTTTCATCATGTCACTCAAATTTATGTTTTTTATAGTTTGACATTGACATTACATTGCAACACAATTTTTTAAAAAATAATACCGATACCTATCAACTCGTCCACAATCATGGTCTTCATTTACATGAGTTTTTATGGAGTTTCTTGCTATTTGCAATGAGGTGTTTTAGTGATTTCAAATTAAAAAACATGATTGCATTAAATGTGTTTATTGAAAGTTGAAAATATTCTTGAAAACCCAAAGATTTGATATTTCATACCGTTTTTTAAATAATATTTCAAAATAATTTCATCTCATCAATCATGATCTCTAAAATGATTTTTCACATCATCAATATGATCCCCAAATAGTTTATGAATTAGGATGAGTTAATAAAAACGACATGCATATTACTAATAGAGTTTCCTCAGACAAAAATATGACTAGTTATATTTTTGGACAAAAATATGACTAGACAACATGTACGAGTCACTGTAAACTAGTCACTATAGTCTATTTTAGAATGTCAAGTCACCGTATATGATGAGTCACTATAAACTAGTCACTAAATATGTCATTTTTTTTAGAAAATTTTTAAATAAATCATATTTTTGGCGTTTGAGTTTAATTTAGTATTATTCGGAAAAAAGGACGAAAATTATTTTGCATATACCATGTAAAATAAACTATCCGTCCACTTTTAATTAGCAATCATTACTTTTATTGTAAATTTGGTAAATTTTGATTAATCATTTTAATTTTTGTGTTTTTAAAAAATTTATACTCTGTAAATGTATACTTCCATAATTGTAATTTTAATAAAAAAATATTCTTACACTCGTATTTACGCTTTCACATATAAATATTACTCGTATTTTTTAGCATTATTAACTGAAAAATCAAAGATAACTTATCCAAATTTCAAAAGACGAGAATCCACTTTCAAATTTGATGCAGGCCAAGAAGGCCTCTGTAACTTTACCCTTTGACGAATAGCAATATAGGACACGTCACAATGTTCCAAAAGGTTGGATCCCCGACCTCGATGGTCACACATTCCGATCTGATAGAATTTTCAGGATGATGTAAGTCATGAAGTCAATCAGATGAATGATAGATCTTATACTCATAAATTCAAACCAATGCATAGTAACTCTAATCTCGTCTACAGATTTGGAACTCTTGAAATGTTCCAAATTTTTCGGTAAAAGAATTCTAACGTAAGTGGGTATCTATTCAAAACCCCGTACCGAAATTCTTTGAATTAATTAATTAGTCGGTTACATCGTTGGCAGTGCCACGAAGATGTTGACAGCACAACTCTTCCGCGGGGTGCGAACTTCCGATGCTGATCGTCCTCCTTTTTTCTCCTTTTCGGCCTTTCTTTAATCTCCCCCTTCTTCCCCGCCGTAGCTTGCGCGATCTCTCAACGATTATCAAGCCGAACGATTTCTTGATTCTCCATTTCCTCCTTCGACGGCCGGTTCTGCTTCAGGGTGGTGGGGAAACGTAAGCTCTCTTTCATCTCGTTTTTCTATCATCATACTGAAAAAGAGTTTGATCTTTTCATGGATTTCGACATTGTCGCTTTTCCCTTTCTCACATTGGGTATGGGTTCCTTCAAAGTTTTCGTTTTTTTTTTGTGATTTATGCCCGTTAGTTTCTTGAAGCATCCCTTGATCTTTATTTCCAGATGATTATCTGATCGCAATTGCTCTTTAGTTGTCGTTCAGCATATTGGGAAGAGAAAGTTACAAGGTATTTGGTTTGATTTGCATTCTTCTCGGAGTTTTTTGGTGTTAAGGTTGACAATGTTTTGATCATTAATTTCTTATTTCTTGTTCATGGAATAGTTGTATTCTGTTTTGTGATTTATGAAGTATGGAGTTCTGTGTATACTGGATGCAAGAAGGGAAGTTTCTTTGTTACTGTGAGCTAGTTTGGTAAGGGTCATTTGTCTGAGATGGTTGAAATTTGCTGAATATTTTGAAAGGAAAAGTTTTGGTCGCATCTATTTCATCCAATTAAAAATTCAAACGCTAATTATGATGATGATAAGCAGGATAGCATTTAAACTGAAATCTCTACATATTTGGATCATGTGTGAGTTGTGACACAAAGAATTCGAAGTATTGTGGCCATTTTCATTTGTCTAGTAGGCCATCCATTTAACCACTTTTATTTTTTTTGACTGCAAAATGTACCAAATGTAATCTGTATGGTTTCCAGTACTTCTCCAGTTGTTAACATTTCGGCTATATTAAACTGTTGATCATGTGTAAAAAACCATGATTGGGAAACCGTTTTGTGCACCTAAATTGTCTGAGCTATTGTGCCACAGGGCATTGCACAATTTTACCATTTTCTTTGAATTATTTCTCTTACGGATGAGGTCTGGTGCATTGCCTTGTGGCACACTGTTTTCCTATATGATTAGGTAGTCTAGGTTTGCATTTTCTTCCTATATCAATTTGGTTTGCAACATTTCCTATTTTTGTTGTTCTAAAATGATTTCCCACTTTCTGTTTTAGGTATGTAAAGATGAATAAAGTGACAAAATTACCTTATTCGAGAAAGGGAAAAATAGTAATTCTTGTGCTAGTCAAATTTATTAATTTCCTTAATTCTTGTGCTAGTCAAATTTTGCAAATCAAATTGGAACGGAGGGAGTACACTTTGCACAGAACAGTATTTATATATTGAATTTGCTTTTATATTTTTACGGAGTATTTGATAAGACAGTACACAATATAATGTAGTCAAATGTGTGTAATGCAAATTTACCCAAAAAATGATTTGGCTATAACGCTATATATTATTGTGGTCTACAAAATTACAGTGACGAGTAAATATTATTATATGGTAGGCCAATTTTGAAAACAATCTAGAGATTCGTATATTTATATAATACCAAGTAAGCAACTACTTTCCATTTCCATCTTTTACACTCTAAAGAGGAAATAGTGCAGCCAAAATTATGGACTGGTTGCTTTATGCCCACCCTTCCCCCTGATGTTGTTTTCGCAGGGCTCTTTTGCATGTTTGGCATTTGAACCCTGTTTGGTTGCTGAATTGCTAATGCAACCTTATAAGTAAAGTAACCTTTTATTTTATGAGGGGTGGGTGCGAACAAGAGTTGTAATTGAACAAAAAGGGCATAGAATCAGAGCCTTTTCTTATGTACATTATTCTTATTGCTTTATATTCTTATCCTATATAAGATGCTCTTAACTTCTTATTGGAATATTGCTTGCTTGTTTTCCTGAAAGATCATTTACTTCAAAATTGTATCTTCGAGATTAACTTCCCTCTTTAAATCCCAAGCTATATGTGTGTAACTTTTTATTTGAAGCCATTTTCTAGTTGTAACCACCAACCTTATGGAAGGGAAGGGAAGGGACTAATATCATTTATTCCAAAGTTCTATTCAGTCTGATATTCAAAGTGTTGGGTCATTGCAAATGTATTTAATGTGCCACAATGAAGAGTGGATTGTAATTATAAAATCCAATGGCTGGAATACCTAATATACTAATTAAGTCTATATGATTTTATTTACGTGAGATGATAACATTTTCTAATGTTTCCAGGGATTCTTGACATTTGAATTTACGTGAGTCAATTTATGTTTGATGGCTGAAGATATTGCCAATTCATCACTGATCTCAGAAACACTTGTAAGGAATGAGCTTGAGAAGACAAGCCCCATCGAAAGCAGCAATAAGGAAACAGGACATTTGAGTAATAAGCATTCTGTTTTTGCACCTGGTAGCTTAAGCTCAAGAAGAAGCTCTACTGGGAAACAAAATTGTCGTTCTGATAGTGATCACACCATCGTTCCCAACTATCTCAGAGCTTCTACTGGTTCTTGCCATGATTTCTGTAAATACGGAAGGAATCACTCTTCTGAACCGAAACCAATCCGTCCTCTGCCACGAAGACCCAAAATCCCTCTGAATCAGAAGCTGATTCCTGCAATGGCGTCGGGGACTAGTGTAAGTGGGGCCTGTGATCCTGAAGAAACCCACTCTCAAGCACCCCCAGAAATCATCAAAGATGTAGTCTTTTTGCAGCCTGAGGAAGTTGAGCCTTCACAGGTGCAAGATACCACAAGCAACAAGATGACACCAAAGACGGAAGGGAAAACAAAAAGTATGTCACCAAAAGACCGTCCACCCAAGTCACTAAAACAACCAACTTCCTGTAAGGCTCTAGAAGGTGTAAAGCCAGGTTCGGGAGGAAAAGGTGATATTATCGGTTGTGAAAGAGTTAGGGACACCAAAGTGAGCAGAAAGATAGTTGTGAAAGCCCCAACTGCTTCATCAACTTCGAAGCCTTCTGTCAGGGAAGCTCTAAATCTGAGAAAGCGGGCGAGTTTGACCTTAAAACCAGCAAAAAATCGTAACAGAATGGGGGAAACTGATGTCGAAGCTGAAGAAAATGTCTCTGAGAAAACACTGCATGTCGTCCAGATGGAAAATGTGGACCATGCTCAAAATGATGAAATAGTTGCTTCGCTTTCTTCACCACCATCTTTATTGTTGCCCGAATCTTCATCTGCTTCACACTCTCCAGATTCATACATAGAAAGTAATCCAAGCAAGAGCTTGACCAAGTCCAAGAAGCCAGTTCTCCCTAAACTTGATGATGCTCCATCATCTGTAAAACCAAAATTTAGTAGGGGCAAGATTCATGATACAGGGAATGAATATAATAGTCCAAAGAGATTAAAATATAGCAAGGAAAAGATTTTGAGGAAAAAGAGAGAAGACGCCAATGTGGAGGTGGTTAAAGACAATATGACGGAATCTGATCATCATAATCACATTATCTCGTCCCCTGAAAAAAGAGATGGCAATAACATACCTGCAAGCAGTAAGGGAGCTAAAAACGTGGGAAGAAATCAAATCATGGCTTCTAAAAGGGGAACTCTCATTGCTACTAGAGTGGAAACTCCTTTGCCAGTGAAACTAAAGTTTAGGAAAGGAACCGTGGTGAATCTCCATCAAGAAATCAACAGTCCGAGCATACTAAATTTTAGGAAAGGGAGGATTTTGAGGAAAAAGCGAGAAGATGCCAATGTGGAGGTGGTTAAAGACAATATGATGGAGTTTGTTCATCATGATCACATTATCTCGTCCTCTGAAAAAGGAGACAACAAGAACATATCTGCAAGCAGTAAGGGAGCTAAAAGTGTGGGAAGAAATCAAAGCATAGCTTCTAGAAGGGGAACTCTCATTGCAACTAGAGTGGAAACTTCTTTACCAGTGAAACTAAAGTTCAGGAGAGGAACCGTGGTTAATCTCCGTCAAGAAAACAACAGTCCGAGGAGATTAAATTTTAGGAAAGGAAAGATTTTGAGGAAAAATCAAGAGAGCAATTCGGATGGGGGGAAAGATAAGGTTGTGGAGTCTGTTCATGAGCAAGATGATACAAACAGGTCTGGAGTTGCAACCAGTCAAGGAGGAGATGACAAGAGAATAGGCGCAAACAGCAAGGAAGCGAGTCCCCAACATGAAACCAAGAGGTCTGGTTCTGCGATGGTAGGGAGAGATTCAAGGGGGAACCAAGTGAACAAGAGTGGTGATACAAGGAGGAGAAGTTCAAAGAAGAGAGTTGAGCGTGGAGAAAATAGCAGTGATATGATGGGCCTGGGGAAGGTGATTTTGAGGCATCATGAAGAAGTGGAGGGGGTGAAGAAAGATGGGCAGGGTGTATTACTCAATAATGTGATTGAAGAGACGGCAAGCAAGCTTGTTGAGAGCAAGAAGAGCAAGGTTAAGGCTTTGGTTGGAGCTTTCGAAACGGTGATTTCTCTACAAGAGAAAAAGCCCTCTTCTGATCATTCCGTTTCTTGACAGGAAACAAAAACTTTGTTTTACCACTCTTCATGTTTTACTGAATATAATCATTGAAGTTTGTTTTACTGGTACTTTATCAAAGTTTCTGCACCCTTTCGTGCTGGTATACTAGTATATCCACCCAAGTCCTTTTTTTTACCTGAAAAAAAAGAGTGTTAATAGATAAAGAATATGTTGAAAGGTACGGGGATTTGAAGTGTTGATAGATACATTATTTGTGGTAATAGCTCTAATGATGGTGTATGACGTGTTTTCTCTCTTTCGTTATTATAGATTATAGTGAAGTTACTCTAGAAAACATGAACCAATGAATTACAGGGATCACATTGATGTACTTGTTCCATTCCACATATTTCAAATCAGACCGGATCACTCCAAATTTAAATAAATCATATCAACCTTAAATAATATTACCTCTATCGATCTAAGTTTGGTCTAATTATTAAAAAAATAGTAAAAATAAAGTAACAATGATTTAGGGGGTGTTTGGAACTAATTCTGATTCTACTTCTTTTTTAAAGCAGAATCAGAATCAGTTTTCAGAAGCTGGTCACCCCCAGCTTCTAAAAAAACTGATTCTATGAGTAAATTAGAGCACCAGAATCACTTCTGCACTTTCACCCAAACACCCCAACTTCTGCTTCTGCTCCCTGAAGGAACAGATTTAAGAATCAGATCCAAACATCCCCTTAGAATGACACACATGTTATCAAATTTGGTATGAGATAATTCGTCCTACTTGGATGTTATTAAGTGCCCGATTGGTAGCCATGATTTTTAGCTTTTCAAGCTTATAAGCTAGAAATAATTGTGGTTTTGGTTTTTCACCAAACACGTAAGTTTTGGTTTTACGGGTTGAATTGTGTAATAATAAGAAAAAGTAAGTTTAGAGTTACTTTTCTGGCTGTATTGGCTGAAGTTACTGTAGAAGGTCATTTTAACTATTTTTTCATTTAATTTTTTCTTTATTTTATTAATAAAATATGTTTTAAATTATTGTTTCACAAATCAACAGAATCAACAAATACAGCCAAATCAGCCAGAACTTCATAAAATTCAGCAGAATCAGCCAATACAGCCGATTTGGCTATTACCAAACGGGCTCTAAAAGTGGTATTACCTCCGTCCCAAATTGATTTGCAAAATTGACTTTTCTTGATCAAACAGTTTCATTTTATTCATTTACTTTGGATGCCAATTTTTTATTATATTTTAATTTGGATTTTGGGACTTTGAAGAGATTTTAATGTAGTTTCTGAATATGTAAAGTTTAATTATAAACAATTGAATTAATTATCAATAGGGAAGATTTAACGTTAACATTAATTGATAAAAAATATTGACTTTTCAAATCAATTTGGGACGGATGAAGTATAAGAAAATTCGGCCTATTGGGCCAGATAAAAAAGAACGATGAAACAGTATAGTCTAACGTGATAGTCTTCTCTCTTGCCTTTTGTCGATGGTCATAGCAAAATTATCAAAATTGGGAATTCTTTCTTTTGAAATTTTATGTGCGATGTTGTAATAAAAGGGAAAAGTTTTCGAAATATGACTAAAACAGTTTGAAAATTCTAAATTAGGACTGTCATGTTTTTTATTCCTAAAATAGGAGTAATTACTGCCAAATTTAGAAAATAATGCCATGTTTTAAGTCTGGTACTACCAAAACATGACAGCAATTAGTCCTATTTTGGGAATAAAAACATGACAATCCTATTTTAAAATTTTCAAACATTTTTAGTCCTATTTCGGGTAGTATTCCATATAATAAACAATTATTTCAGAAAAAGGATTGATTATTTAGTCCTATTTCGGGTAGTAATATTGTTATTGTTATTGTACAATTGTTGATTTAGAATTCTCGTGTATGAGTGTCCTATTATGTGTAATATTAGTGCTACGATTAGAGTCTCATTCACTTGTAAGATTGAATCCCATTTAGACCAAATAAGTCATGGATTAATTAAGGAATTTGGTGTTATACTTCTTAATTTCCAATTTTTTCCCCTATATTAAGCATATGATATGGATCAAACAAATCTTTTATGGAGTATTAAATGTTTTAATAGCAATGATAATATAATTTTTAATCAATAAGAGCTACACATCATTCATTTATAACTCAAATTAAATCAATCACATTAAATTAGACCAAAAAAGAAAATTTGAGTAGCATACTCCACTTGCCCAATTTGCACATACGCAACTGTTTTCCAACTTACTGAAATTGCATTTAGCCTCTGCATCTCCGTCCCTCGTCTGTCGACAATCCCCATTCTTCAATCTGCTCAGGTATTCATCATCGCTTCCTCAACTTTCAATCTTAGCAGTTATTCTCAACTAATCTTATGTCCTGAATCAACTGATATCGAGTTGTGAAACACAATTACTGAACAGTAAATGTTCCAAATCTTACAACACTCCACATATCATCTCTTTAAATCCACTCGACAGATCTTATCTACAATTTTTAGATAAGTATTTGCTTTGTTATACATAGATTTTTCATCTTCGCACAATTAATGACCTCGCTAAAACATCCTTGTACTGGGCGCTGACAGTCTTTCATTTCCATCCAGGTATGTCTTTATTCTATGTTGGTTCAATTCCTCAATTTATGATATACATTACCAAACAAAACTATTGTAGTAGTGCTCGATTTGTTGTAAACTAACCATATCTACAATTTTCCTCTGTGAACAAAACATTTGGAGTTTACCCAAAATGCTTATTTCCTACATCCGTTTGTTTCTTTCAATTACATGTATGGCTTGGTTTTGTGTTTACGAGAATCACCATGAAATGTGAAATGTAGTGAAGAGATTTATAGTCATAGATATTGTTAAATCTATCTAGTTAATACGTTCCATACTAAAATTTTATGTACTTCACGGAATCTGATATAACTCAAAATTTTACTACCTTCGTCACATTTTATGCGTCCTACTTTGGTTTGACACAATTAGTCAATTATTAATAAAGTGGCTGAAAAAGTAAAAGTTGTGGTTTAGATTTTGGGTATAATAAACTGAAATGTTGTAGACCACATATTTCTTTTCAAAAAAAGAAATGTGACACTTATTTTGGGACAACCTAAAAAAGAAAGTAAGACAGGTAAAATGTGACAGAAGTATTTAATTCGATTTTCTGGTTAATGGCCAGAGGCTTGCAGCCTCAACTGATTATTGTATTAAAAATTTCATAGGAGAATCAAGGGCTTGTTAGGTTTCTTAGACTCTTAATGTAGTAATCTCATTATTAAATTATTACAATTTTAGTGTGTAATTTGAAAACATACCTCTTCATCTTGAAAGATAATTTCAATAGTTTTGCACTTTCACCTTCCTCAGAGTGAGCAGGAATTTCATTACACTTCCATGGCTCCCTTAATTAGAGGCCATGATGACATGGTATGACTCAAATCCTTGACCATGCATACCTTTTTTGACTTGTTCATTTCGGCCTTGTGATGTATATTCTGCTACTGCGTATTTTTACAGCTTCTCTGAGGTGTTTAATTTTGTTTTGCAACTCTTCCACGAGTGTTTAATCTATTTTCAAAGATCTGAAGGGACCACAAACTAATGCAGAGCTCTGCTTAAGAACCCTGTCCAGTTTCAGGAACTGAAAATTTCACTGTCCAAGACACTTTAACAGCTGGCCTCATTTATTAGTCCTTTTAATTCCACTCTCCAAGGATTCACTAGTTACTAACTCAATGTTTGTTCCTACTTTAAAGAAGACATTACTAAGTTTTTTCCATGGGAGGCTATGCTTCAACAAAGGAGAAAATGACTTTAGGCGGGAAAGTGGCACACCATTCTCCTCTTGTTGTATAGAGCAAGATATATCTGGTTATGTTAAAATAAGATACGCTTCAAAGAGATATAAACATATGAATACACTAATACACATTTTTAGAGGTGTTGTGTCTTACATTAGGTTTCACAGTATATGTAAATACGATACGCCTCAAAGATATATAAACATATAAACAAAGAGGTGTTGTGTCTTACATTATGTAGCGTAGTCTATGAATTGAAACAATAATTTAATCCATGTCCGTTGCAATCAGAAAATAATTTATCCTGAACTTTGAGACAAATTTTACTCTAAAATACTCCGTCCGTCCCCCAATTTAATTCCCAAATTGACTTTTATGGTCTTATAGGTGGAAGTTCAACCCTAAATATCTAAAAATCTATACTTATAAAATCTAACATAAATTAACATTTGAATAATATATATTGCAATGAAGTATATAAAATTAATTTTGTGTGATAAATTAATGTAAGTTTTGAATAACCAACGGTCAGTGTTTAATTGTTTATAAAGATTGACTCTAAAAATGCAACTAGGAACTTAATTGGGGGACGGATGGAGTATTATTTTGTAGAATCTATAGAGGTACGTGGTTCTAGTTTCTTTCAGCTTTAAGGCGTGTGACTGGTTCAACAACAACAACAACAACATTACCCCAATGCTGCAAAAGTTCTCACCTACGGTGGGGTGAGGTGTGTGACTGGTACTTGATAATAAATACTTCGTCCGTCCCATAAAAGTTGCTCAAAGTTGATTTGCACGTGGAGTAAGAAGGTACAAAATATGTGGTTGAGATATGTGCAAAGGAGAGAGAAATAACATGAGTCACATGTTTTTACTTTAAAATTATGCGAAAGTTTTTTGGGACGGCTAAATAAGGAAAGTTGTTAAAGTTTTGTGGCACGGAGGGAGTATATTTCTATGGATAAGATTAATTAATTAATACTACCTTCGTCCCGTAAAACTTGGCCAACTTTTCTTTTTTGGTCATCCCAAAAGACTGCCATTTCCATTTCAAATAACAAATACTTCGTACATGGCTAAAGTTATTTCTCTCCCCTCTGCACAAATATCAACCATATAATTTTTACTTTATTAATCTACGTGCAAGTCAACATTGGCCAAGTTTTATGGGACGGAGGGAGTACTCGATTATCTATAAATGGAATGGCGAATGATTATGGTTTTTCTTCTCCACACCTTTAAAAAGAAATGCAAATTGCCAGATGAATGGACCAGAGCAGATACTGTGTAGCTTTTTCTTTTCTCTACATGGCATATTAGAAATTAACAACCTTTAGAAATTACTCCGTATGAATTTCCTCTTGAAATTGCAGTGATCAGGTAGTCTAAGCAATGCTTTTTTTCATGGTTTCCACAGATTAAGTTGCACAAATCTTCTGGTTTTTGCTATTTTTCTTTCCTTCACTCTTCTTGTTGAAGCTTCCGGTTAAAAAAATCAGATGCCATGGTTAGGGTCTATGTGAGTTGGGGTGAGAATTTTGCTACGAGTGGCTGACTTATTATGATCTATCCATCAATGTTGTTTTGCTTCAAGGAGCATTTTTATTCTCATTTTATTGACCTCGAGTGTTATATTTCCTTACGATTTAGGGTTTTAATGAGATTTTTGCTGCATAAGATTGGCGCTGTGTGCTTACTCTAACATTGAAGTTGACTTCTGCTCAGGTATGGACTGTGTCACAGTTTTATCAGGTGTTTGTTAGATCCAATGTTAGTTATGGTGAATTTGAATCATGTATTGAAACAACTGGGTGAGAAAATTGGGGTTTCTGAAGATGTATGAACATTACATTTTCACATTTAGTTGAGTCTCGACTTTTGGATTTTATATATCCTATACATTAGAACTGAATGATAAAAGAGTTCTTGAAGTATCCGCTAATCATCTTGCCAATGATCTACCTTTACAATTTATTTTAAATTTTGATTTCATGTCTTTGATTGATTGGGCATGCGTAAGTAACTTTGTAAGACTAGCTTGTAGATTGGAGGCTTAAGTTACATTTTATGATATAGTAGAAATTTAAGAGCTAAGAATTAGGGTTTATGTTTTTAGAAGTTATGGTATTCAGGGGTAAAACATGTGTCATGTGCAGTAGTAAGACTATCCCTGTTTTCTATGAAATCATAAAAGAAGAATAAGGTTAGTTAATAATACCTCCTACCTTTTCCATCATTTGCAAGGGAGCCAAAGACCGACTATTTTTTGGCTTGGGGATATGATGGAATAAAGCAAAATGGCTCACTAAACTGTTTGTGCTTCTTTGTTATGAAGCAGCAGTCCGTCTATGCAATTTTCGATGCGATTTTCACTATGGGTCATCCGAAAACGGTCTCTTTGTACTTTCGTACAGGGGTAAGGCTGCGTACATCCGCCCCCCTCTTACCCCCACCGTAGGTAGGAGCTTTTGCGGCACTGGAGTAATGAAGAAGAAGAAGAATACCTCATACCCATTTTTTTGCGACTTCATTATGTCATTGGTCAACACAGTTACCTTTTTATTCTGCGATCTCGAGTTTCAAAATTTTACAATATTCGAGTTCTGTTTTTCCAATTCAATAGAACTATAGGTATAGTTCTTAAATATAGAAATTTAATTACTTACAACAATTTGCATAGTATTAAGGGAATACTTAACTCTATTGTCAGTTAACCTCGTATTCTTTTTTTTGCAAAACAATGTGGGACCAATATAGTAGTTCTTCTGTAGGAGTGAATAAGTGAGTGAGTCTTATTTTTGAGAAAAAAGAATGAATCTCTGTTTGAAGAAATGTTTTTCGTTTTAGTCGTATTTGTTAAGTTTTCTCTTGTGGTTCTGCTTCATACTTATCTGAAAGACTGAAACTGATAAAACACCAAAATCATGGAGTTTGAGCTATTGTCCCTGGAGTATAAGCTATTATAACTCCTTGTCATTTTCTTGGTATACTATTGATTCATGTTAGCCAACCCAAAATCTTCAGCTTGGATGTTGTTGTTGTTGTGTGACTAGGATCAAAGTCAATCATTTGGACCGTTGAATAATTGTTTCAATAGGAACCGTTTAATCCTTACTCCCTTTGTCCCACTAGATTTTTGCCTACTTTCCTTTTTTGGCTCTTCAAAAGACTGCTATTTTCCCTTTAAAGTAATACTTTTGTGGTTATACTTATTTCTATCTCCGATGCACAAATTTCAACCACACAATTTTTACTTTCTTATTTCACTTGCAAATTAAGATTACAATGTTCAGGCTGGAGGTAGTATTATATGAAGTTTTCTAATATTATTTCCATGAATCCATTTACACGAAGTACATAAGCTATTTATATTGATAGGAATCCTGAGAGAGTCTATTCAGTACCATAGGTGACTGTCTAAATACTAAACATAAATGATTGAGAACTGAAAAGACAGCAGCTATTAAATACAACCTGAAGCACTAAAGACACATACTTACAGTAATAATAAGGAAAATAAATCCTAGATTAATGATGTCTCTTCGTTTTATCAACACCCCCCCTCAAGCTAGGTTTGTAGATATCCATCATGCCTAGCTTGACAATAAGACCCTGAAACCTAGGACTGTAATTAGGTTTGGTAAACACATCTGCAACTTGATCTTCTCAGGGAGTGTAGCTTAGTTCGATCAGACCTCCTTCAACCTTTTCTTTGATAAAGTGCCTATCAATCTCAATATGCTTGGTTCTATCATGTTGGACTGGATTATGAGCTATGTTGATTGCTGATTTGTTATCACACCTCAATTCCATTGGTCCTTTCCACTTGATTCGTAAATCTAAGAGAATAATTCTGATCCATAGAAGTTCACATAAGCCATGGCAAGAGCTCTTAGCTCAGATTCAGCAGATGATCGTGCCACAACATTCTGTTTTTTGCTTCTCCATGTCACGAGGTTTCCTGCTAAGAAAACACACAGACCAGTAGTTGACCGACGGTCAACGAGGGAGCCACCATAATCTGCATCAGTGAAGGCTTGGAATGATAATTGCCCACCCTTCCTGAATATTATCCCTTGCCCTGGACTTCCTTTTAGGTAGTGAAGAACCCTATAAGCTGCTTCTAGATGTGGTTTCCTTGGATCATGCATGAACTGACTCAAAACACTAACTGCATAGGCAAGGTCAGGTCTAGTATGAGAGAGATAGATAAGTTTGCCACACAAGCGCTGATACATTGATGAATCAACCTTGGGTTCATCAGTAGCAAGTCCAAGCTTATGATTAGAATCCATAGGTGCATTAACCGGTCGACAAACACTCTTACCAGTCTCATTTAACAAATCTGTAATGTACTTTTGTTGGCTGATAAAGATGCCTTCAGATGAGCGAGCAACTTCAATTCCAAGAAAGTATTTTAGAGGGCCAAGAGACTTCTTCTCGAATTTGGATTTCAGCTGCCCCTCAAGACGTTGTTTCTCAACTGGATCATTACCCGTCACAATGATGTCATCCACATATACTAAAAGAATAATGACTCCATTTGGGCGAGAGTGTTTGTAAAAAAAGAGTATGATCCCCTTGGCTTTGACTATACCCAGCAACAAGAACAACCTGTGAAGCGGTCAAACCAAGCACGAGGGGATTGCTTGAGACCATAGAGGGCTTTCTTTAAATCGCATACATGTGTAGAGGTACTTGTTGGTGTTTTATTAAGCCTGAGGGAATGTACATGTAGATCTCATCATGCAAGTCACCGTGGAGAAAATCATTCTTGACATCAAATTGCAATAAAGGCCAATCAAAGTGAGATGCCAAGGATATCCCATACGTCTGAGTGTATCCTTTAGCCACAAGACGAGCTTTGTACCGCTCAAGAGATCCATCAGCCTTGTATTTGACAGTAAAGATCCACCTGCAACCAACAACATGCCTCCCAGGAGGTTTAGTCACAATATCCCAAGTATGGTTCTTTTCAAGAGCTCTAATTTCCTCTTGCATAGCATCCCTCCATTCTTTCTTTCCTAATGCCTCAGAAACAGAGTTGGGTATGGGAATTTCATTAAGTCTTTGAACAAACAAGGCATGTGAAGGAGAGAAGTTATCAATGGTAACAAAATTAGCAAGAGGGTATAGAGGTGTTTTGGTACATTTACGTACACCCTTGCATAAAGCAATTGGCGGAGATGGTGGTGGAGAAGAAGAGAAATTACCTGGGTCAGCCAATTGGTCATGCGTCAACAATGGAGTGAACTTGTTTTTCCTTGAGTACACTTTTGTCACTGGTAGAGGAGAAGATGGGTCATGAGTGGTGGATTTAGTAGGTGTAGGAATGGGATGGTCTGGTGGTGGATTTGATTGAGGTTCAGGGGATGTTGAAGACTGTTGGGAAGTAGGTGAGGTCGCTGACACATCTAAGGAAGGTGATGGATGATCATGTGGTGGTGGTGGTGGTGATGGGATGTCTGGTGATAAAGGCTTAGGAGGGTAGGAGATTGTATGTGGTGGAGAAGATGTAATAGTATAAGTGGACAGAGGTGAAGGATGTGGAGTATCTTGGGATACAAGGAGAGAAGTAGGAGTGTAAAAAGGTGTCTTCGTGAAAGGTCACATCTGCACTGGTGTATGTCTTTCTGGTTGTAGGATTATAGCACTTATATCCTTTCTGAGTTGGAGAATAACCAAGAAAGATACACTTAATAGATCGTGGGTCCAATTTTCCCCTATGAGGTGGAGGAATATGAACAAATGCAGTACACCCAAACACCCTTAGATCAAGATCAGAAGAAATTCTTGTTTGAGGAAAGAAGTGACGGAGAGATTCAAGGGGTGACTTATTTTGGAGTACCCGACTGAGAATTTTATTGATGAGATGACATGCTGTGAGTGTGGCTTCCCCCCAATAGTGTTTAGGCATATTTGATTGAAACAATAAAGCCCGACTGACTTCTAGGAGATGGCAATTTTTTCTTTCTGCTGTGCCATTCTGTTGTGGTGTGTACGGACAAGAGTACTCATGAACAATGCCTTTTGAGAGGAAATAAGTGAAAACAGTTTGATTGAAGTATTCAAAAGCATTATCAGTGCGGAAGCGTTTTATAGTGGCGGAGAACTGATTATGAATCATATTGCAAAAGATAGGAATGATGGAACTCACCTCACTCTTGTTTTTTAGCAGAAAAACCCACATAAAACGTGTACAATCATCAATAAATGTAACATACCATGAGGACTCATGAACAATGCCTTTTGAGAGGAAATAAGTGAAAACAGTTTGATTGAAGTATTCAAAAGCATTATCAGTGCGAAAGCATTTTATAGTGGTGGAGAACTGATTATGAATCATATTGCAAAAGATAGGAATGATGGAACTCACCTCACTCTTGTTTTTTAGCAGAAAAACCCACATAAAACGTGTACAATCATCAATAAATGTAACATACCACCGGGCACCAGGTATATTAGCAATTGGAGCAGGGCCCCAAACATCACTATGTAATATGTATAATATCAAAAGGAGAACAACTGATTGTATTACTTCTAGAAAAAGATACACGAGACTGTTTAGCAAGTTCACAGACATCACATTGAAATGTAGAAACATCAATACTACTAAAAAGACTAGGAAGCATGGTTTTTTAGGACATGAAAAGAGGGATGACCAAGGTGCTTGTACGTTTTTTTCCCATAACAGTGAGATAGTCACTGTTATGAAATGTGCAGAATAAAAGGTACGATGTGATGTTATTTTTGTACCTTTTATTTCGCGCATTTTAGTTTCACCTAATGTACACTTGAGTTTAAATTTTTATTCTGCACATCTCAATATCATCTAATGCACATTTCAGTTTCACCAAATGCACAATTCAGTTCCACATAATACAATCCAACGGTCCAGATTCATTCTTATTTCTCTCATGGGAGTCCGTTCTTACCGAAACCGCTCCCTATATATACACACACATATATATACACACATACATATATACATATATAGGAAAAAGATCATGTCCAGCCAGAGGGACAGGACCCGCCGTCCGGCCACCGCCGTTTGGGGCGGTTTCCGGTGGATTTTTTTGATGAGATTTTGTGAGCATGTTCCGAATCAAGTCTAGTTTGTCCACAAAAAATTTTAGCTAAAAATTCAATCGGGAAGGTACCCAAATGAGTTTTGGAAAATAACTGCGTTTTATATGTATATTTTAGCGCAATTATCTTCAAGAATTTATTTGAATGTCTTCCCGATTGAATTTTTAGCTGATTTTTCTGTGGATAAACTAGACTTGATGAGGAACATTCTCAAAATATTTCATCAAAAAATTCCACCGGGAACCACTCCAAACAGCGGAGGCCGGACGGTGGGTCCTGTCCCTCCGGCTGGACAGGATCATTCCTCTCTCTCTCTATATATATATATAAATGAGCTTGGACAAATATTTGAAATTGGTTTGTTGAGTTTGAACCCCTCTAATTTCCTCCATAGTGTCTTTAGCATTTTATGGGCTTGAAACAGATACTAAGTGTTGCTTCATCAGCAATTGACAGGTTTTATGAAAATTACCAAACAATACCGGTGCAGTCACTCCGCATACTGCATATGCACAAAAGGGCATCTAAGTGAAGAAGTGATATTCCTAGTCTTTGAACATATGAACTGGAACCCGAAGACAATTGCAGATCTATCCTGTGCGTGCAAATGGTTTGATGATCTCGCAAAGAGAGTGCTCTGGAAGGAGTTCTGCAAGAAAAGGGCGCCCAAGATGATGCTTGACCTACAATCCTGTGGCAGCCACAGTGTGGACGGGAACTGGAGGGCACTTGGGAAACTCCTCATTTACTGCTCTGGATGTACAAAAGGCGGGTTGTTCAACACCATTCACATTCCCGGACACTTCGTTCATAGGACTCGGTTCTCAAGGACGTCTGGTAAGAGCTTTCTTTTACCTCAATGTAGGACAGATGTTTTGTACGTCTCCGATCCATGTGAGCATCTTGACCAAGGAGAAGAAGGAGACGTTGGGTTTTTCCGGGGGATATTTAAGTCATTCGGGTCATCAAAGGTGAAGAAGATGCTGATAAAGAAGGACGCTCAGCTGCACCCGAGGGAGGTGTGTCCGTACTGTAAGGCGAAGCTGTGGAGTATGTTGCAGGCTAATATGATACCCTCAAGTGCTAGTTGCAGACTGGGTGCTTATGAAGATGCGATTGAGTATTATGTGTGCCTTAACGGTCATGTGCTTGGGATTTGTACGCTCTTGCCCTTGTCCGATACAGAGGAAGCGGAAGCTTCTGGATCCGAGTGAGGCGTAGCAGAAGAATGAAATATATATTATATCTTTATATGTGTGCAGTGCTGCATTTCTTTTTACAAGGATGATGAGAGCTTTCCAGAGTTTTTTGCTCAGAACTCTTCACAATGGGTGAGCATTTTGATTGAGTAATGGTGGTATGCTTCAGAACATTCTTGCGAACCATTTGTGCAATTGTATCCGCTTTGGTGCGACATTGTAATGTCCTTCACACTCCTGTTGTGTAATCATTGTACTTGTCTCAGTATGGGAAAATTTTGTATGCCTCCGCAAGTCCATATGTTCTTACTGTCCCACTTTTCTTTTTCCCTTTTCTTTATCATCTATTCATAGAACTTTGATCAAACTTGATTTGCATGTGGATTAAGAAACTAAGAAAGTAAAAATTGGGTAGTTGAGATTTGTAGGTTATAGGTTGTGGAATAAAAGATAGAGTATGACATTGACAATTCATATTTGTATCATGTATTATGTGATTCAAACTCATTCATAATTTATTATTTCAATTACTTTAATTACTACATGTAGTATATAATCCTACTTTCTTCAATAAAATTATCAAATTTGGTAAAATGTGTGTAATTTTAAATCATTCTTTATTTTATTTTATCAATTCCATGTCAATCACATAAACTAACTTTTCTTAATAATGGTGTTACCACCTCATTTCTCAATGTTAGTCGGACGGAGTTGGTAGGATAGTTGTGATTTTCTGTCTAATAATGTTAGAACTAACGCAGGACTACAGTAATTTGAATCAACGTAATAAAGCTTTCGAAACAGTGATGCACCATCAATGAGAGTCACCGTACACAATAGTCCCAAAAGGCCAAAAGAGAAGAGAACCATTCTCTAATCTTCCCAGTCCCAGCTAACTGCCAAAGAGCCCGACTTACTACACAAGTTTATTCTATTTATAGCCTCCCAAACCCAACCGAAGGTCGTTATTAGTAATAAAGTCAACAACTAATAACACTAACAACTTCCTCCTTCTAGAATAAACTTGGCCAAATCTTTTATTATTATTATTATTATTATTATTATTATTATTATTATTGATATCCGAGTTCCTGTCCAATAATGGTTGTCATGCTTTTGGTATTTTCTTACAAATTTGCAATCAAGGTAGACCATAAAATTCTAAACTCATCGACCTTGAAAATTCAAAAGTACAGTCAAATACCCTTTCCACAAAGATGAGAAAGTGAGAAACTAATTTGGGATTTTGGGGTTTTTGTTGTTGACATTTTTAGTTAGGATAGTACGGAGTATATTTTATTAATGTTGCATCTGTTGTTTAGATTTAAGTCATTTAACATTCGGATGAGGTCCAGTATTTTAATTTTTAATTTGAATGCAACATATCAACTATGTAAGATTAGAATGTCACTCAATTGCTAGAAAGAAAAAAAAAAGCAGTTTACTATATCAAAGGATGAATAAAACAAAGATTCATATCTAATGATTAGTTAATAAAGAATTTTCAGCTCATGAGATCCCAAGACTTCTTACAGTAGAAGAAAACAAAAAAGTTGTCCAACTAAACTAACACAGCTTCATTTCCCAATTTATATAGAATCAACAATCAAAACAAAATGTAAAAGAAAAAGGAAACAGCAAAAAATTCTATTTGAACATAGAAAGGAATTCAAAGAATCATCTATATATCTAATGTGGACAGAATGGGAGATCCAAGCTTTCCCTCTCCTGCAGCACATGAAGAATCTCATTCAGACGCGCTGCATCAATCCTTCCAAAGGACTAAGAAGCTACACCCATACCAGGAGGCCAAAATAATGTATATATTGTCTATTTAAAAAATATATGGGAATGTAACAGCTTGGTTTACAGAGTGAAAGAATGAATATCTCGTCCCAGCAATGGTAACTGTGGGTCCTCTCTGATGTGTTCAGAAGCGGGGGAGAACACAACCACTTCAGTATGACTCTGGTTTAGCCAAGTCTTGATTTACTTCCAGACCACGAAGTATACAGAACTGTAGTTCCACAACAAAAAAGGGGCAAACCTTCCTACTACTCCAAGATGTGGCAATTCCTAACAAAATCATTGGTATAGTTCACATACTTCGTCCAAAATGGCCGGAGATTTTCAAACCCTATCTCCAACCAGGGTTTTGACTGCCCATTGTAATGAATCACTGCAGCTTTCCTGACATTCTCTATATTTGTGTTTTTTTGGTAGCCCAATCCAAGCATATGCCAAGATGAATCTATTGGGTGGACATGACCTTTGAATGCAATCAAAGCAGGAGGTAGTGTTCCGAGCTTCCACATTGTCAAGTTTGACTTCAAGTTCTGCATCAATAAAAGATTATATGTATAGGTTAAGAACCTGCATGTGCCTGTCACCTAAATATTTGGGAATATTGCCAATGAAAAGTCATTTGGTAGAAGGAAAATTCCAATAATTTTGTTATTTATTCAAAAAACAGACTAATCGCATTACAGTCAGTCGAAAGATCATGAAGGCCTATTGCAACATGGTTTAACACTACAGTTCCACACCCGATTCTTCTACCGTCTGGAGTCTGCAATCATCCTCATGAATAATGTTATCAGTCAGCAGGCACCCAATTTAGATACTAGTTGCGTATTTGTCTGTAACCAAATTTGTTTCTTAATTTCTAAATGTCCTTATGAAATTGATGCACGTTAAATATAACTCCTTACCCCCACTTTGTTCCTCCCTTCTTTTCATTCTGGTCTGTCTCAAAAAGTTTTTCTCATTCAATATTTGATCATATTTAGTGGCTCACAATCACCCCTAATTTTTAAAATTCAATACCATTATACCAACCACAGATGTCCACGTTTTCTTATCATTTGTGTCAAACCCTTAGTCCCAAACTTAATAGGATGGAGCCTATAGAGGCAGCGTTTCCAAATGCTAACTTCTTATACTAATCAGTTATCAAATAGGTAGTAAGTAATTACTACACATTAAATGAGGGCCTTTTAGGGAAAATATAACTTATGATTAGTTTATCGACCTAATCCATTTTTCTTAAATTGTTGGATTTGGTCAATAAATACATAAATAGGAAGAGAGTTGAGGATAATGAATTGGGATAGGAATTTTAGAATAAAATTTCTATGACTAAAGACCAACCAGTAGATGAACATAATAATGGACTGAATAATGACACAGTTTATTTACCTCTTTGAGCCATGCATGGTATGTATCTCTTATATCGGTCTTTCTCCATGCACGCAAGTCAAATATATTCATACCATAAGCCCATGCGCACTCATCAGGGTTCAAGTATTTTGCAATGTGAGGATGAGAAAAATTGAAGTATGTTCTGAATCGCTTAGACATTACCCACTCATCTTCACCTTTACAAGTCTCTACAGCCCCATTAACCTTCCCATTAAGGTCAATGTCCCACAGTAGGGACAAGTCACGTTGGATCACAATATCATCATCAAAGAAAACCACTTTGTCCAGGTTTGGAAAAAGCTGCACAAGACGAGTAAAGAGTTTTACACAATACACATGGATTTCACAACATGTAAGGGAAGTCTATAAAAAGGCTTCAGAGAAAAGGAAGATGGGCGGAAATTATGACTCATAAAAACAAATATTTCAAGCTGTTAATGACTCAATGATTTGAACATGCTGGTCCCTCAATCTTTTAAATTACTACCTCTATCCCAAATTAAAATTCATGTTTTCCTTTTCAATCCATCCCAAAATCATCTTATTGTTGCCTTTCTAGGAAAGAATAGAGTGATCCATAGTTTTCTCTTTCATTATTAAATTAAAGAAAAAATAATTTAAATATCCCAAACTTTGAGGAGGTGTGAGGTAAATACCCCAAACTTGCACATGTAATACACACACACACACACATATGTACCCCAATCTTTATATAAAAAGTTATGTTAGCACCATGATCATGTGCCTTTTCACAAATGTAATTTTATGGTGTTAAGTAGATAATTTAAAATACTCAAAACACTTCTGAGGATGCAATTAAAGTTAGATTGTACCGGAATAATATTATTTATTTCACAAATGAAATTTTAGAATGTTACTGCATGCAGATATAGCTTAGAGTATTTTAAATTATGTGCTTATTTCTCTAAATTTATATTTGTAAAAACATATAATCATTGTGTGAAAATAACTTTTTATATAAAGTGCAGGGTATATATATTACATATGCAAGTTTGGGTTATTTATCTCACACCCCTTTAAAGTTTGCGGTATTTATATTATTTTCCCCTTAAATAAATCTCAACTACATAGCTTCACCTTTTTCATAGGTGTGACATGTCAAAAAAAGAAGATAAATTGGGGATTGATAGAGTATTATCTTTTACCCTAAAAAATTACAGTCCTTTTATTTTTCACTCGGGGTAAAACTTAAAAACAACTCGACACGATTCTTCTCATAGTAAAGCTGACTACCTCAGGAAGATATATGCGAAGATGATTTAGCAATGAGATATATTTAGGACTTCTGGCCTGCAACTTTGAGGCATAAGAGCGAGGAGTAGTATCACTCAGGTTAGCCCCTGCAATGTGATTCCCATGGTAGTAATTACGAATCCCATTATGGGTCTCCACAGCTTCAAGCACAGGAACATTCTCCCTGGTTAACCAGTCAAACTGGTGAACACTTTTTACTTCCACAATAGCTGGAGAAACCGGATTCAAAGCAAACCAGGAGTGCATCCCAGCATATGTTTTCTTGTCTGTGATGACATGGAAAACCATCTTTTCAGGACTATGAGAGGATTGGACAGCAGAGTTGACCACAACGGAAGCAGCTAAGATGTTATCAGTTGACAGTACAATATGGTGTAATGAGTTGTCAGAGAGCAATGGGAGTAATTCTGGTGAAGGCAACTGCTTTCGTGCATGAGCATTGGATGAATACTCATCAGTCAACCGTAATGAGAGACAATGAATTCCCTTAGGTATTGAACTTGCAGCGAAGTGTTTGTTTGTGAGTTCTGCAAACTTGGATTCCCTGATCTCTCTTTCAAATCTTTCCATCTGCAAATTAGAATATTTGGTAAGAAAGAAAAGACAAACAATAAAAACAGTAATGATATACAGTGCTACACAACATGTGGCTAAAAGAACTGACCATTCCCTTCAACATCAATGCTAACTCTTTTGCACTGTGTTTATTATTTTTCATTTCAGAAACAAGTTGATTATATGACTCGGGGAGCTTCAAGGTAGCAGGTACTTCCTCAGAATTCACTTGATTAAGGATCTTGACAAAATCCTTTATGAGCCTCTGCAGCAACAGAATTGAGATGCACTTAGATAACAGAATTTGCCAAACATTTGGTCATGATGCAGTTCATGTTAGAATAGCGACATTATCAATCAAGAAAAAGAAATGAATGATGAACTATCAATTACCCCTGAATCATCAGCTCTTCCAAGAAGCTTTGGTCCCAACCGCCTGCCTAAACAATCTGTAAGTCCATATGAAAATGAAATCATTATGAGTCATCAAAATCTTTCCCTTGACAATTGAAAT